ATGCCGGAACACACTAGAGATGGTGTAAACTGGGCCTAAAACCTGTGAAAAGCCTGTGACACACTGCACATTGCAAAGGAAAGCGGCGGTATGTGGAGTTTTGCAGGCAGCGTGTCTAGCATTATTCTCTCACGCGTTCAGCTAGGCGAGATGAGAAATTCCATCTCTAGCCAATTGACTCACAAGTATGAATCCACAGGTTAGGACGCGGATTCAAGCGTACAGCCAATCTGATCACCCCAGAAAAGGCGCCTGGTGAGAGGAGTCCAGGATAGAAGTCCGCTTGTTAATGTTTTTCTTCCTGCACAAGTTCTTTCTGTGACATATGCCAGGGATGAGAGCTATGCGGAAAGAATATATGTCCATTAAATAATTAAATAGGTAATAATTAAATAATTCAATATTAAAAGGAGAACTATGAGATGAGTGATTTCCACTCACTCCATAGTTCTAGCCGAACTGTGCCAATGAGACTGTCACAGGTCGGCTCAGTAGATCGGGAGGAGAGCGAACACATACCGGGTTCGCTCACCTCTCGATCCTGTCACGGCTCTCTGCCGTGACAGGGGGAGGGGCTGGATTCCCCTCTCCGATCTGCCAGCGCTGACTGGCAGAACGGACGGGGGAGGGGGCGGGTACAGCTGGGTCTGCCTCTAGATAGGCAGAGCCAGCTGTCACTCACGCAGCTGGGCGGATCCCGACGTCCAGGTCGGGATCTGTTCCCGACCTGGACCCTACTGAGCTTAGGGTAACTGGAAGACGCTAGTTTGTGTCCTCCCGTTACCCTAAGGAGAACTATGGGGAAAAACACTGACCCCATAGTTCTCCTTTAATTAATAATTAACTAAATAATGAATACATCAAAATGTGAATACATTTTTTTATCCAATTAATCGAAAAAATATTCGGCTAAATAATCGATTATGAAAATAATTGTTAGTTGCAGCCCTAGTATAATGCATTATATAATTCATTATTCACGTACAGTTGCTTTTATAATAGGAACTTTCTATTTGTATTTCAGATACTAAATACCCAAATCAAATATTAATCTGTGCCACCCTGCCACACCTAGAATCAAATGTAAGCAGACTTCAAAGGAAGAGACCATAAATAATAATGGATAATAAGATCAGTTAAAAATAGCTTTGCATTGTGCCTTTCTAAATAGGTTAGGTTTACATTGAAACCTAAGAATATAAAGCATTGAATGCTCCTTCTTTGTGCATATCAATTATACATAGTATTTAAGTCTAGCATAACACAGGCTTTTTCCATCAACAGAAAAAATGTTCTGATGGATAAATAGGACATAACTGTATATAGAACAGTATCCGTCACAAGATGACAACATGCAAAGCATATAGAATTTTAAAGTCTAAAGCCCATTTTTAGTTTTGGATGGAGTGAGGAAGTTTTTAGCAACCCTGTCAACCTTACTCTCTGTTTGCCCTAGTGACCATTGTCACTGGAAGTGAGGGAAAAATCTAACATTTTGAGTTATCACCAGAACAGGAATAGAGGAAGAATCAAATAATAGGGATGTTGCAGGTAATCTAAGAGATGATTTCTTTCACTTTGGAGAGATTTCCTTTCATTTTCCATTTTTTTCTATGGAACAGGAAGCGAAGGGAACTCTCCCCAATGGGGCACAGACAGCAGTAAGAACCTAAAAGGACCAGTTAGGGCAAACTTTACCTTCACAAAGGGCACCATCTTGTACGAGCCACCCTGAGTCATACTTCCAAACACCTGGTCCCATGTTATGTGTTTCCTCTTGCCTCCTCAGCATTAGAGCAGTGGCCTTTGAGGTTAGAGCTGCCTCACCACTTAAAAAGCTTCTAAAATTTCTGGGATATATGGAAGCATATGCATATCAAAAGGAGGATGAGAAGGCACAGCACTTGGAATTGGCTGTCCAATTCTTCTGTAACTTAACATTTACTCTATAAGATGACACCCTAGTGAATCTACAAAAAAAAAAAAAGCATCAAAACGAATAATCTGGCTACATTGCTCCACACCCTAGTAACATCACACCTTACTTATTATGTAATATATTGCATCTTGCTGCCTTATAACCTTGGATATAGCACCCCTGTGGCTTTAGTAACCTTCCACCATTTGAAATTTCACAGGCTTAATTCACAAAGCTTTACCACAAGAATAAGGATCATTATTTGACTTGTGTGATTGTCATTTTCAAATCTCATTGGTCTTGCCTGAAAAAATATGTAATTGAAGGTCAACAGGCTACCATGACATTATGATAAGGATTATCTTCTTGCTTAAGTAGATGTAAACCCTAACCATATGACGCATAGTTTGGCTCAGTGTATTGTAAACAATTGGCTTGTTTGTTTAATGAAAATGCATGTTTTCATATTTTTTTCATGCATTGTTGCATTGCCCCTGTAGCCCCTTTACAGACACTTCCTGTTCACATATTACATACACAATGTATGTTAAAACAAACACTTGTAGTCTCATTTGGAAACCTGTGTGACAGAGTAGCAGCGCAGAAGCACAACTGGGAGACAGGTAGACCTATGCGGAAGTCTTTAACAAGGACCTTCATAGCAAGAACACCAGGTAATATTGTAATAGAAAGTTTTTTTGCAACTACATGTTAAACCTTAAATGAGATTTGAGTGATTTCATTTATATATGTTAATCCATAGATTTTTGCATGAGAGCAAAATTAAATGCGTGCAGTACTTCACTGTTTTGGTAGTGGTAGATGGTACGGCCATTTTTTTTTTTTACTGCTGTTAAAGATCCCTTGTGTGAATTGTTTCAATGTTACTGCATTATTCAATGGAGAATAAAAGAATATCTTAAGTCACCTGTAGGCTGAAAGAGTATAAAACATTCTTCCAGATTTCCACTATTGATGAGCAATATTAGGCATAATATTATTGGTGACCCCTCTGAGATGTTGTGGGGGCCATGTTAGCCATTTTCTAATTGTAAATAGTTGCCTTACTCTGTGAATATAGCATACATTGCTCTTTTATAAGATGATTTGTAACATACAGAATAGGGTAAAAGGTACATCTGTCTGCTCATTGGTTGGATCTTCTGTTGATTATTAAAATGTTTGGTTTGTATACATCTTACTGAAGCTTGATCTGACATCTCTAGAAGTAAGTAAAAATAATAATAATGATCCCAGGGAAAACATAGGTTTAAAAAAAAAAGGTGTCCCGGCTTTGATGCAGCAGGATCCATCCTGTCAGCGTACGAGAACAGACACCCGCACGGACGTGCAGGGAGGGTGAGCGTAGGGCAGCGGACAGCCGCATACTCCCATAGAGAAGGACAGAGGTTGTGTACTAATCACACGCAGCACCTGTCCTTCCCAGGAGCTGCCCGATACGGCCGTGCACGTAGCACGGAGCTGTACGTGCCGGCCTTTTCTCGTGTGAATGAGGCCTAAAGGGGCCCTAAGTTACATCATTGTGTTTACTATGCCTTCCATATGTAGATCACATTTGATCTACATATGAATGAAGTAGTAAATACAATAAAACTATACAATGAATCATTGGGGATGATTTACTAAAGGCAAAATAGGCTGTTCACTTTCCAAGGGGATTTTCCATTAGCTTTGTGAAAGAGGTGGAGCCCTGCTGACTTTCATATCCAATGATTTTGGTAAATTTCACCACATTTACTACGCTAAGGCAAAATCCCCTGGGAAAGTGCAAATTTTCTTGCAAAGTGAACAGCCTATTAGCCTTTGGTGAATCAACCCTACTGTATTTATTTAATGACACCTGCAAGTGTAATTTTACATAGGAGCTGCACATTTCATGTTGCTTCAATACAAGACCGATGAGTGCCTCTAATCTATTTGTAAGGTAAATGCCGGTTGCACATACACAAAAATATCCATACAAATCCAAAGTACGTATACAGGCACTCATGGGTCTTGCAGCTGATAGAAGACAAAGCATTAGCGTTTTATTGTCAGTTTCAATGGATCAAAACGTCCACCATAAAATGCTGATGTTTTCACTCATCTCCGCTGCAAGACCTGTGAATGCCTCTATTTCTACTTTGTGTATATTATATATATTTATTTATATTTATATATATTGAATCTGCCCTTTTAAATAACAGGTAGGGTGATGTGCTACGTGCCTGTATAGGGTAATCCATACACTAACTGACACCCGTTTCATTAATCACATACCCATTTTATTAATCTTATAGTTTATATCACTTTTCACCTTCAGTCCCATCCCATCATTTCTAACCAAAGATGTCCGCAGTGAAATCACAAATACACTATTCTGCAATGATTATGACAAATTCACTCAGAGGATTTATATTTAGAATTTTCTGTTTATTGAAAGAAAAAAAAAAAAAACAGACAAAAAAGGAAAAACATTGGCTTACTCATTCCCTCCAAAGAAAAATAGATAGGTTAAATTCAGCTTATCCATAAATAATGTGAAAATAAACACAGATAAAATATTTACATTCTACTATAATACATTATAAACAGTTTCCAAGAAACATATGCAAAGAAATTATATATAAACTATACGAGAACTGCAGCAGCTCATTGTCTATTCAATGAAAAACTTTTTAGACCTATCATTTAAACTACTAAAATCAAAGGCCATCGTAACCCAAAGCAAAGTCAAGTTAAATCACAAGCCAGCTTCTCATTTCTTTTGGGCCAGAGGAAAGATATTCACACCAGAATTCAAACTTTGGTCTAACGAAAACAGCTATCTCAAAAGCAAGATAATGGTGCCACTGTCCATTGATGGATTCTCCATTATGTAGGGGAACTGAGGAATCCAGCTTTGCTATGGCGGGGCTGAAGACACTACAAAGGGGAAAAGCCCAAGAGAAGCCATTGCTCGAGGTATTTGGCTGGGCTGCTTTTGCTCTACTCCACAGGCATAGAAATGCATACTCAAGGCACCCAAATGTACATATATATGCCTGAAACCACCAGAACAAGACATCAGTTGGATTGTGCTTGCGTATCTGACCGTCCCGAGGTTTGTAGCCACCTTATCTGAAATAACATACATTGGTAGGGTAGGTTGAAGAGTGTACCCCTTAACTTTTTTTTTGCTACAAGGGTTTTATTTTTAGTGTTAACACTTGAGGCATATTGCTAATATATACAGGATAAGGTCAAGCATTGTAGATAATCTACTTATTTATTGTTATGTGTTACTATGTGCAATAAGTAGAAGCTTTGATTTAGGAGTAGCACTTCAAATCACATATTTGGGGGCGTATACATTTAATAAAAAAAATTGGAAATCACCTTACAAATATTTAGCCAAAAGGTGTGTATTAAAGTAAATGTGAACTAGGTTAATACGATAGTGGTGGAGAAACATTTTACTTACAGCTTTTAGTAGCCAAATGTTTTCCATTATATTTACATCAGATACATAAAATGCATATCTACTATTCATAGGGTTGGTAGGTTAGCATTCAGAACTACAGAGCACAAATAATAATAATAATGGTGTAGTGTGGTCCCATCACCTAAAGTTATTAAAGCACATGTGTATTCATATGACCCATAAACAGAAAATTAGATCCTTTGACAAATGAAGAAATGCATCACACAAAACCAGGAAGTACACAACAATCACAATACAATAAAGCTGCAAAAATGTTCCCTTTCATGAGTTGTTAGTATACCACCTATAAAGTTATGTTTACGTAAAGAGGGTGCTGTCAAATGCTATATGTTATACCATAATATAGCTGAAAATCGCATGCTAAAACCATAGCAGCACATAAAAAAAATATGCAAAGTAACACAGGCACTTGTACTAGGAAAACAAGATATCCATGCGAATAAACCCATTTGTTTTGATGTAGATTTTGTAGTACCTGGGCTTAAACAAGTACCAACAACTGGATTCATACACGTTACAAGCTACTAGATAGGATTTACCTAATCAGTTTGCACACCCTGTAGAATGAAGTGTTTTATAACATACAGTATTCATCAATGATCCACCTTCTATGGAGGTTCATTGACAACAACTACTGCGTGACTCAATGAAATATACCAATTTATAGACACGCTTTTTTATTTACCAACTATTTATCTTCTGCTTACAGATTGGGCAGCACAGTGGTTTAGTGGTTAGGAATCCAGCAGCACTGGGGTTTCTCAGTTCGAATCCCAACAAGGACTCTACCTGCATGGAGTTTGCATGTTCTCCCTGTGCTTGCAAAGCAAGCACAGGGTATTCTATTTCCTCCCACACTCTAAAAACATACTGGTAGGTTAACTGGCTCCTGTCAAAGTTGGCCCTCATATGTGTATGTATGCATGTGAGATAGGGACCTTAGATTGTAAACTCCTTGAGGGCAGGGACTCATGCGTAAACTGTTGGCGTTATATAAATACCTGTAATAAATAATCATAATTCTGTCCAAAAAAAGAGAATGTGAAACGAGGAAAATTTGTGAACTAGAAAAAAAATTATGATAAAGGCTTTGGTGGAAATGCATTTCATAGTTACCGACATATAACAAAAACACAGTTATGATCAAGACAAGGTTGGTCAGGTGAACGACACCAAAATGTCAGACAGCCTACCGACTGTTGTTGCCATGAGATCCAACAGTCAACATCAGTCTGATAAGCTATCCGACAGGATGGTAGAGCCATGGAGATGTCACGACGGTAGATGGAGGTGTGATGTACACAATAGGCAAGATACAATGGTTTTGAAGACAATGGCTGTGACTTGCTTTAGGCATGCAACGCTGAAAATTGGATTGTGGGTTAACATTCAATAATATCTTGGAGCAGTATTATATATCAGGCTAAATTGGTACTCTAGCCCCACTCAAAATTGTATAAAATGCTGGATAAGAAGTGAGATTTAATATATACAAAATCATATACCATGCTTTTACATACCTTGATTGTCCCTGGCTATGGATATGGTGTTATATGCTCTATCTGCAACTACTAATCTATCCACAATCAGTGGTATAACCGCATGCAGGTAGTTTATGAACACATTTTTGTCAGTAGCATCACATTATAGGCTCATGTTTGGGAAGCAGCAGATGCAAAGCTCTCGATGCACCATCATCCACTACCTGCATTTACCAGCGTAAACCAATACAGGTTACAGAAGATGTAGAGAACAGTGGATAATCAGAATTGTGGTATTTCTATACTATTATTACAGTTTAAAAAAGAGAAAGTTACAGACCTATCTACATATGCAAATTCAAGGTCAGTATCAGTATAAAATGATCAGATGGACTACATAAAATCCATCCAAACTTAAATAAACAGAGAAATTGTAAGTAATAAAGTTATTACTGTGAGGTTTCTAAGTTTCAATACTGTACTTCACAGAGTATTTGTATGCTGTTTGTTCCTGATAATGCCTGTGCACTTTTTAAGCTGAAGCTTCATTGCAAAATGGTCCCACATGCGTCATTAGTTGTTGACTCATTCACTTGGAATGTTTGTGCTGAGAACAGAAGGATCCCAAGACTGACAGAACACACAAGAGGGGACAGGAGATCTTTTTCAGCCAGACATCAGCCAACAGGTACAGGGGAAGTGTCGGTACCAGAACACAGCAGCTATTGGTATTTTTCCACTGGCTGTGCAAGTGAGGTTATTAGAACTAATAAAAGGACAATACATGTGTATTTAAAAACATATGGCATATGTGTGTGATGTGCCATATCAATGTTACTTTGATATATTAAAATAAAACATGAAGTTCCTTATCTCCTTGTAAAATAATCTACACAGCTTTAGGGCTAAGTAATAAAGTACTTTGATGAAGTCGGACGTATTACTACCAAAACTTAATGGATGATTCAGTACCCTGAACTCAGAAACTAGGTGCACACACCCAAATGAAGAGCAGCCAGATCTTATACAATATGAATCTTTAAACGTGCATGGCCAAATATGTAAGACACTTAGACCCCGGGCCTTTTTTTATAGACAACTGTCTGTAATAGTAAAGCCTTGCTCATCAATTATATTAAAAAACAGAAGAAAAAAAAATGTACCTAGCAAACTAAAACAACAATGTGGGTTATATACCATAAGACTCATAACCCTAAGAACCAGAAGCAAGCATGATATTAGCTACTGGGTCCTCACCGGTGTCCAGTGTACACATGGTGTATTACCGAATGTTGCAATAAATACAGAAGATGTAGGTGTTTGTTTCTCATTGGATGTTGGCTGAAACATCAATCCACAGGTACATCCAGCCCTTGATCCCCTCACTGACTGATCTGAACACAGCATGATGTCAGGACGAGTGCTTTATAAGGATTAGAAGCAGGCACTGGTATTAAGGACCCCTAAATCCATTAAGATCTAGCCACCTAAAACTTGAGTCAAGTGTTCATTGGAAGATTAGGCCTTACTAATCAGGGTGCGTGTGGGCCCTTCGCACAAGTGTTTCTTGGGTGGGAATAAATAGCATGTAAAGAAATACTTTCATATTTGTCATTAAGAAGCAAATCTTTAAATATATATATATATATATGCTTAATCTTGATTTTATAATGCCAACAGAAAAAAATAATAATAATATAAATCTATCTATCCTATTTATTCTATCTATTATAGTTATAAGGAATCCATCTTCCCAGTAGCTATATGAATCAATGCTAAATCCCAGAAACTTGAATGAAAGCAAAAGCAGTGTTCTGAAGAGTTAATGTGGCTGCCAATGACTCAGGCTTGGCAGAAAAACAAGTGGAACCATGAAGACGTTTTCTAGGAAGCCAGCTGTAATATTAAGTCAGCAGTGAACGCAGCGCCAGAGCTAAATACACACTTCCTCCTTCCTGCTTCTGCAAGGCAAGAATGATTGGGAAATCACAGACAAAAGGTTTTTCTACAGGGAGGATTAACACGCACGCAATCGACTTTGGTCCAACAGCTACGGGGGTGGAGTGGACAAAAGAATCAATGCAAGAGAAATATAAAACTAAGCACATATCACAAAGAAAGGATGAAAATTAAACTCAGGAAAGGGTCAAAAACGTACACAAGAAGTTCTGGAATGATCAAAGGTGGCTTTATAAAGTTCAGTTTCAACTTTCCATTCTATTAGTACAGAATAAAAAATAAAAAAACGGGGGGAAAAAAAAGCAAAACAACAAAACAGCAAGTCAGTTTTAAAAGAACTGGACGGTTGCCAACTGTGTTCACTGGTTTCAATAAGCACCTTATATCCAAGACAATGATAAGGGCACTGAACAACACACAATTCCTATCTGCAAGAAGTTATTGCTGGGCAGACAGCATTGCTTTATTTTTGCCAAGACTATCAGAACCATTTGTTTTCAAGTTACTAGGTGGTTTGCTGTTGTACAACCCAAGCAAACTGAAAGCTACATTCGATATCAGAGTTCTTTCTCACTCACATAATTTAATAGATAAATGATTTATTAGCAAAACAAGTTAACAGGACATCTGGAATTGTAGAATAGCAGTGCACCTATCAAAAGCTGGGCCATCTTGTGTAATACGGTCTATGTACAAAACAGGATAGTCGAGAACTCCACAGGTCTTCAGTCGTACAGGGGAGCACACTGCACAGCAATGTGTTAATGTCTCCCACCAATCAAATAAAGTCAGAGCAGCAATTCCAATTGGTTCGTCTAGTCAAAGTAAAACACAGAAAGTCACAACTTGACTTATCGTCTCACTGAATTAAAACAGTCAATAGGGTGATGCACTGCAGCACCCTGTCCTGTTTCAATTAACTAAACTACAATAGGTAAACTATGGCACTTTAGCTGCTGCAGAACTACAGGTTCCAGCACTGCATGAAACAATGTAGTTCCACAAACGTCTAAGAGCCCCAGACCTCTTAGGTGTACCGTGACATTGTAGTTTTCACTCTCCCACAGTTATAAGTCAAGAAATTCAAGTTTCATCTTGTACTTTCCTGAACACACAAGCAGCCTACTGGCACAGGTTCCCTTATACATTAAACCTTTTACAGTGCTGCTACGTGTAGGAAAGCAAAGGCCTTGATTTTTCTTAGCTAAAAACAGGAGAAAGAAAAAAAGACTGTGAAACAGTAGCCTGAATGCCAAGCTATGAACTACAAAGAAAGAAAAACGAACTCACCATAAGAAAAGAAATGCAAGATGTTAAGAAAAGGGTATACATTACCTTATTTTGCCAGAGACATCTCTTATCCACATAAAATACATGGTTACCGGTTTTTATAGTGTGAAAAAAATATTAGAAAAGAAAAATAATTTAATATGATTTTGAAAAAAAATTGTTTTTTGAAAATGTCCAAAGTTTAATTTGCCAATTTTGCATTTTAACGGTTAATCAGGTCAAATGAGGTTCTTAGTAGCATTTTGTCTCTTTGTGTCACCCGCCCATTTACTCCCAGAGTTCTTCCCCCTTATTTAGTCTTCTCAACAGATATTGTTTTCTGTTGAACACGCTTGGCGTAGCTCTGTGCCATGGAGTTGATGATGGAAAGAATGAAATAGAACACCATAATGATGACCAGCTTCTCAAATGCCCACGATAACCAGTTTTCACTCTGTGGAAATAAACAGCACAATGCAGTATGGTGAAGTCATTAAAAGAAGGAGTGACAAAATGTGCCCCACCTCATGTGTCTATATACTGAATCAGGTCAGCTGCCTTTTCTTTCTAGACTAGCATATAGGGTCTCTCTAAACTTGGGGGAACACTGATGTCAGCATACACTAAGACTAACTCAAAGCACAAAAACTCAATGATTTCAATGTCTGGTTATATACTCAATCATTTCTTTATTATCTTACAAAGAAGACCTGGTAGTTAATGATACATTTTCTATTATTATTGATACTCCCAAGTAGCAATGTTTGTCCAGTAGGAGGCAGTATTTAACTATAAAAGTTTTAAGGCATCAGTAACACTGAAATTTCATGCCCACCACTTATATATACACAACGGTCACTCAGTTCAGTGATCTACTTATCTAAAAACCTGCGTGATTCCAGATCACTAGTGGTAATTGTCTATTATAATAATTAGGATCAACAGCTAGTTGTGCCTACAGCATAATATAGCTTCTATACTGATACAGTGCCCTTATCTCTAATAAAGATTGAAGCCAATTTCTAGAATGTGAAAAACACAACAGAAAGTGTCTTGTTTTGTAGGAAAGGGTCATCAATGGTCACATAAGGGCCATCAATCCATAATAATTAGATGAGATATTTGCCAGGTTTATTGTAGAGCTATATCATCTTCTATTCCAGCTTCTAGCTCAGTTCAATCTAACTATGAGCCACGTATTATCCCAAAATATATACATATTAGCACATACAAATTAACAATTATTACAAATATATTTTATCATTAACATACTGTAACAGACTAGGATTATCATTAAAAAAGAAACTAGGGAGGATAAAAATCCATAATGGACAAAAATAATAGTGCAATTGTTATCTAGTGAATGTGTAAAGACTGGCACCACCTATATAGAAGTGAAGTGTTCTTACCTGTGGGGCTCCCGCATCTACTTTATGGTGAAGTTTCTTCCTCTGAGCCTCTAGGTATTCTTGAAACGGCTTTTGCAGAGAAGGTCCAATACTTGGAACAGCCCTGGGTCCATTTTCAAGTCGGGTGAAAGAGGAAAAAAAAAGAAGAAGAAAAAAAAAAAAAAGAGAGGAAAGGGAAAGCAGTTAGAGATTTACTTACTCAGGATGGAACATATGAATGTCGCATGCCCTGTGTGAAGGCAGTACAGGAAGACATCAGTGAAATGTGAGCAGTGACTATGGGTTATGTGCACTGGTGCAGTGCAGAAAACTAAATGAATGACTTCTGGGAACTCCCACATTTATCACCAGCGGTTCCTGTAAGAACTGGTTTGAACCGATTAATAAGGAAATGAGTGGTGCTTGTGTCATCCTCACTTGAAACAGAAACTGCCCACCCTTTTCTAGGCTTGCCCCT